ACTATGCCGTCTTCTGGTTTTACAGTTTAATTTACTGTTAAAAAACAAAAACAAAAACAAAAACAAAAAACAACAAAACAAAACCTACAAGTCATGATACTAGTAACCCAGAATGCTGAGAGGACGTGACACTATATCTACTGCTGTGAAATTCTTATGGATTCACCTGTGCCTACACTGGAAATTCCAGAAATTCTTTCTGGAATAATTCCTAGGCACAAACACTTTATGCACAGTGGCTGAGCAGTACGGGCTACCAGTGCCTGTGACCTGTGGCCTGCCCCTAGACTGCATCCTCCTCCTGCTTCATGCATCGTCAACACCCTCCAGCACTCCACTCCTGAATCAGTCCTCGTTTACTGCTACCTACTTTGTGTGATGATGCAAATACAGAAAAAGAAAATGATGCTTTGCTAGGGTGCTTTGTACTTGGAAATCTGCTGAATATTTACTTTCACATTCTGCCTGTGTACTTACCAACAGCCAAATAGGTGACAGTGCTGATTTCAATAACACTCTCCAGTGGATGGAACTTGGAGCTTGTAAGTGCATATTCATTAGAGTAATTATAACTTGCCTGATAACAAGACAGTCGCAATTTGAGTGCTGTATTTTTAAGCACATTGTGGCTAATAAGAATCTGTTGTTCTTGATACATGCCCTCAGTCTCATTTCTGTTTGCTGCAGTTCTGTCTCTCACAGGATGTATTTCAGGGACAGTCAGAGACCTTTCCCATCTCTATGCCAAGGGCTCTCTAGGACAAGCAACTAAGCAAGACTGTGAAAACTGCTCAGATTGTCACTATTATCTGTTATACACCCAGAATTACATTCTGTCCTGAAAAGTCCAAAAAAGAAGAGGAAAAAATTTAATATGATCAATGTTTTTGGAGTGAAGGGATGGGAGAGATCATGAGTTGCAGAAGTTGACTCAGGCAGAGACTGGCTACTGAAGGCCATAAGGATATGGGGTTCTTACCATTTACATGGTTTTCACCCAAATGACAGAAAATACTGTAACACTACAGCTTCCAACTCAATCTTCCATTAGGGAGGCTCATCTCCCTCTGTTACCAAGTGAATGAGCAGTCTGCTGCCTAGTCTACTGCAATATCTCTGTTGGGGAAAATAAGAGGAAAGGGGCACCTGTGCCAACATTGTTTCTTGTGACTTCAGCTAAAATCTGTTCTTTTTTCTCATAAGAACTATCCTTGCAGAACCCTCCTTAGTGGGATTGCACCCCACATGGAAGCTAAGATCCCTTAAGTTGTGTCAAGTTCTGCTACAATCCTCTTAGATTTTGACTGACAAAATTCAGAGCATTTTCAATCCACTTAAAACCCATCTCAAGTAACTCCCTTTGGACAACATGATCTGCCCTCTGGAGGCGTGAATTTGCCACCATTGTTTATACAAGAAAACTTGGGTGAATAGCTCAGACCTAGAAGTCTAAAACACATCCATGTTCACTTAGTTTCAGCCTCTTTCTCAGTTTCCCTAAATGGGGAAAATTTGTCTGATAAAATGGGAAACACTTCTGTGAATATTTATGGATATTACAGAAGCACTCTAAGGACAGTAAATTCTTTCCAGGGGGTTGATATGATTAAAAGTCAAGTTCTACAAAAAGTGTTGTAATTCTTATCTGATTATTATGTTCAAGGCCAGAGCAGAGACAAGTCTCAAAAGCCAAGGCTTTGCATGTCAAACAGAAGTAGTCCTCAGCATGTGGGGAAAATGGCAGTGATAAACCTACTATTAGGCATCTAGGAGAGAAGCCCAGCATCTCCTCTGTGTGTGGGCTAAAATAGACATGAGCCACTATCACAGATAATGGCAGCTTGTAGGCACATGAAGGGAGCAACTAAAATCCATTTCACTTGGACAAGAAACTGCAGTCTGATATTTACCTGTGTCCATCACATGTGAAAAGTGTTTGCTGTGAATTATCCAAGAGAAAAGTGCAGGTTGAGGGGTTTCATTACCTGTCTGAGAGTAGTTCAGATCACACACTGAACACAAGAAATCACAGGTAAATCTCAGATTGGTGTCTTGGGTAGTCAAATGGATTCCTGCTATTCATCTGAGTATATGCCTTTTTCTACAGTTGCTGGAGGCCCACATCCAGAGCAGTGAGAACAGATGCAGACACACAGAAAATGGGAAAGTAAGATAAGCAAAGTAAGCTTTATGTGATTTTAGAAAATTAAGATCACTGGAAATGACTCTGACGTCAGTGTTAGAGACTGCACCTTTCACTGCTAGCAAAGACGGTGCCTGGCTCTGTCTGTTAACGGCTGCTCTGTAGCCTTCCTGATTCTGGTAAAGCTTGCAATAAAGAACCATTCCTAGGAACAGTTGGAATTCCTTGCAGGTCTATTGTCATATTTTCACCTTTTCCTTCTCAGAAGAGATAATAAAATCAATGTTTCTTAACATCACTTCTGCACACATGACAACACATTGCAAGCGAAGTGCAAGAGACTCTACAAAACACATATTTAGAGTTTTTAATAATTACATATAATGAAGTTTGTACGTTTGCCCAGACTTTCAATATGTGTAAGACCGATTCTAAAGTCACAGGTTTCACCAACCCAAATGCTGACCTCCCAGGCATTCTCAAATTCCAAAATACAATTCAAAGTTAAAGCACCTGAGAAATACCAGAGAAAATCACAGCCAACTGACTGCCACATTATTGTTTCAATGTTTGCTACTAAAAGTAAGTGGTAAGTTTTAAGTAGATCTACTGTGTTACCAAATCTTTCCTTTCAAACAAGCACTTCTGTCAGAAGTGTCTTAATTTCTTATCACAGAATTTCATCCGCACAAGGAGCAATAAATAATTCATGTTCCTAGCTCTTTGTTGTGTGTCCCTGAACTGCACAGAGCTGGAAGGCTGACAGCTGTGTCAGGACAAGCACCAAAGATCTGACATGACAAGTGACTAACAAGTTTCTTTCAGTCTATAGTGAAAGAAGACAATGGCATAAAGTGCAAAAACGAAATCCTGAAACAAAATGAAACTGTTTCTTTCTCTTTACCTAAGTGTTTGCTATGAGCTTATTTCCGACCCATAACCTCTGGTCATTTTATAGTACTGCCCAACCCCCTTTACTCCTCACATTCGCCTGGCCATTTACGCCTGTCCACGGATCAATATGAGCAATTCTTGGAGAAATACGATGTCTCCATGACAACCAAGCCACAAATTCTCAGTGGAAAGCAGTGAGACCAGTAGTGAAATCTCCTGAGGTTTTCAGACCTATAAGACAAGATGTCTTAAAATGCAGGAATGGACAGAAACAAAAGCCAGAGTAATTCATTGTTTATTACTAGTTTAATGATGTCAGATGGACCGAATGGAACTCAGTTTTTAAGTTTAGATGCTTTATCAACATGTATTTTTGCCAGTCAATGTTCACCTCCTGACAGGCTTTTATTCTTTCCATTGCTTCATATACACATGCAGAGTGCAGAATTGGATATTCAAGTTCCCATCCAAACGTGTACATTTTGCCAAAAAGAATTACTTGAAAGTTAAAATTAACGTTATCTTTAAGGTACACTAATTCTCCCATGAACACTTTAGTGCCACCTTGTCTTAATTCCTTCTCACTTCAGAACAGATCAGAACTTGGACAATCCACAATTTTTGCCCATAATCCTTGTTGAAGGGACCACAGAAAGTTTCTGAAGGAGGTGCCACGCACCACAGATCGTAGGTGTGGTAAGGAATTAAACTACTCCTTCCTGAGTAGATTATCTATTTCTTCCTAAATCTCTTGCTGGTTTCTGCCGTACAGCATTGAGTCCATGCCTATGTGGCTTTAAAATGAACACGGATTTACAATTCATTGGTTTCAATTATTCCAACATATACTGGTGTTCATTTCTGTGGAAAAGATGAAAAGGGAACGTAGTTCAAATCAGGTATATGACAGTGGTTGAACTCCCAAGGAATCTTGGAGGAGTGGAGTGTGCTGAAATACAATCCCCCAGACATGGGTCCTATCTGGGTTCTGAGATGACTTCGGGGACCTGACACGGATTTCAGACTGGACCCTTTGACTGAAAATTAAATCTCAGCAGTGTTCCTTGGGGAAGGATCAGGGGACTGTTGGCAGCTGCCCCCTGTCAGCACAGGCTGCAAGATTTGGAAATCTCTTAACTAAGCTGACAGGCCGCAGAGACGATGAATCAAAAATATGATACACGGATCAGCACACAAAGATGCAAGATGGTACACGGAAACCAGATAAAGCAGTGAAGGAAAATACCAAGTGAAGAAAGATGTTTAACTCTTTCACTAATGAGGACGATGTGCAGGTTACATATATGGTGTATGTGGGTCAAGCTCATGGTTTCCTTAAAAGATCTTAGTATTTAGTGGCACGGAATGTTTTTAATCAGCTGTGACTCAATACACTTTATATTTAATTGTTTCCCTTTGGGATTCATTTAATAAATTTCGTAGATGTTCCATAACGAGAAAGATAATGAAACTACATGAAGATAAATCTTTTAGTCACCAAAAAGAATGCACTTTATGGATGTTCCTGTATTTAGCTGAATCAATGTTAAGAGCCATTAAAATGAAATAATGATTGTGAGCTGATTTAAAGAAAAGAATCAAGCTATTTAACGCTACCAATTTGCTTTCCTCCAGAGATACAGTGTTTGAATGTCTGCCACTACATCCAACTGCAGTATATACAGTCCTTCCAATTTTTCATAATCTCATGCTACCTTCAGAGGGTCAGACACTGTACATATATTAAGTAAGCAGTGTAGTCCAAAACTAATTATAATGAACTAGTAGTGTCAGCTTTCTTTTTGGTCATAAAGCCTTTATCCTCTCTAAGACCTGAATTCGTGATGAAAGAGGAAAGGATAACAGCTCCACACTGTGACCCCTGGAGGTGACCATTAATTTGACATTGCAGCTGCTAAAAAGGAAACAGCATTACAATGTGCTTTTTTTACAGACCCAAAAGCTATGTCAGATTTATCACTTGATACTCAGTGACTGTCTTTAAATGCCTCTCACCTGGACTCTCAGACTCTTCCAAGACACATCTGTCAGGCGTATCCTCCACATCTTGGAAGTTTGCCGAGTTTGAGCTCTTGTCATGCTTCAGCGCACTGACTGGAGCAATAAAGAATAAAAACAGGGGGAGGGAGAAATGTAATGTATTCAGAAACAAACACTTCCTGATTTTCTGCAGAGCTTCCAATGCTGAAGACATAATTTGTAAACACAAATAATAGATTGAAATAAAACAGAAACTCAAAGCACTTATGTGCAACCAGAGCACAGCTGGGAAATCTATAGACAATAATTCATTTGGGAAGTTTGAGGTATCGCTTTAAATGAAATCCCTTTGACGTAAAAAACCACTTTTTTCACATAGAAACCTAAAATAATAAAATAATTTAGAAGCCATAAAAAGTGCTTGTCTGTTTCACGAAAGAAGCCAGTAAACAAAATAAAAAATCAATTAGGTGGTTTTGTAATTACTGAAGTCATCCACCAGGGAGAGAAATGGTATTTGTATATAAAAAGCTAGAATGTGTAATAAAACTAGCGATAATTCCAAAGTGCAGTAAAAAGCAGACTGTGTTGCAGGTTAGAGATTACCAAATTTGATTTCTTCTTTTACTTAATTGCTAAAAACATTTTCATTTCAGTGCAGGAAAGTATTTTCATGGAAACAATTATTTGTCTGTATATGACTCTTTAATTCACTAGCTTTTGAACAAATCCCATGTAAGTTTTCCTGGACAGAAGAGAGGAATTTCTCTTGTCAATGTCCATTTCCCTCTCTTCTGCTCCATGTGTCCATATGGAGCCACAAACATAACTTGAAGATAAAGTACAATTACTAAACAATATATTAGAGAATAGCACAGTAAAGATTAGATCTCAATTTTTCAGTCCCATTAAAACTCTGAGCTGATCCCATTTCTTAGGAAAATAGAGGTGACTAAAAAATGCCTATTTTTTTCTAATATCTAGAAAACTAAGCAAATTGCAAACTTCTAAACTAGTCCAGGTGGATGGGGATCCCACAATCTCAGTGTAGTTTTGTCCTGTTTTCAAAACACGAAATTCATTCCCTTGTAACTTTTGACAGAGGGGTTTGTTTTTGACTAAATGAATATTGGTTGTAGGGTTACTGAATTTAAACACCCATTTAAATTCTCCAAAATGATGTGTGAATTGACAAAGCCTCAGGGCATTATTCAGACAGGAAGAGTTCAAAAGACACATACTCCACACCAGCTTTCCATTGGTTTCCAGCTATTGATACCAGGTCGCCAAAAGGTTCCATCATTCTCGACTCCTGCATCTACACTGAGTCTGTTTGAAGCAATCAGGGCTTCAATATTATTGTGGAATTAGAGGTCCTTGAAAATGCAATATTCAAACATAATAAATAATAAAATCTATGATAGTGACACTGCATTTCACCTGGAAAAAAAAAAAGCCAGTAAATTTTGCTTAATAATCTGCCTTGGATGGCAACTGATAAATATATAAAACCCTGCCCAGGTAGAGGAGGAACACTGGTTACATTTCTAAGCTTACAAAAAGACAGTAGACTTGTATCAACAGTCAACTTATCCACATGAAGATGAGTTTTCGTTCTTGTCTCTGCAATGGAAGCATTGACATGATAATCTGCATGAGATGACACTGAAGAACAACTTACAATAAAGACCAAATGTTCTTGTTCACACAATGTGCAGGTCTTCAAAGATATCTGTGCTTTTCTCTCATTTTTACAACATTTAAATAATTTTCAAATAAACTAATTGAATGCCAGGATTCCCACTTCAAAAGAGAAAAAATGGAAAATACAAGACTGCATATTATTTTTTTTTAAATTGTTTTGTGCCAAATTTATTAGAACATTCTTTCTAAAACTGTTCTTCCCATTAAGCAGTCAGCTCCACTGTGCTGAGTGATGTATTGAGTCATTACAGCTGCGTGAATTTAAAAGTCAGAACTACTAGAGCAACAGGAAAATTTCCAGAGTATACTGTGATAAAAGTGAGAAAACAGAAAGTATGGCTATGCCTCTGCAGAGAAGGAGAACAATCACAAGACCTGTCTTCTCTAAAAAACATAACAGTGACCAAAAAATCAGGATCAGCCTTTCAAAACAAATGGAGTATTTTCACCCAGTAATGAACTCTCATAGTGCACCAAGGAGGGGAGATGTGGTCACAGCACCGAGCATCACTCCCAGTTGGGAGGTGGCAGGTACTTCTCTCACTGGAAGGCTGTGCTGTAATTGCTCCTGGATGGGACTAGGACAAACCTGCTCAAGTGCTCTCCCTCTGTCCCAGGCCATGTCAGCGCAAGTCATGTAATTTAAACGAACCTGCTCGGTCTTACAACAAAGCAGAGCAGAGCACTGTTTCTAGCGAAGGTACCGGATTCAGCTGAGAAGTAACTCAGAACACAACGAACAAAAGACAGCTAGAAGCAGGTCCATACACGGATGAGATACATCAGACGGAAGGTGTGAAGTGAACATGGAAGAAACCAGGACAGACCAGCAAGATCTTTGGACAAAGTAGGAGGATCTCCAGTTGATACACTTGAGTAGAGATTACAGAGATTTGGGGAGATCTAGGAGAGGATGGAGTCATTGAAAGCCAAGAAAGACAAAAATGAGAAAAAAGAGATCACAGACAGAGCTGATATGTCTGACAAATGACAAAAACAATGATGAAACACTCACACTAATAGCTGGTGGCACAGAATCATTAGGAACAGTTTAAAGGGAGGGGACAGCGTGGACAGAAAGGGTTTTCACAGGGACAGAAAGCAGACTTCCAGACACCTTGTGTAAAAAGAGCTGTCAGAGAATGAGGTAAGTGAAGGGAGGAAAATGTACATTTCAGAAGACCAGGAGACAGGCTGGGACAGGCCAGGATCCAGTCACCATTGCAAGTGAGGGATGTGGATCTCAGCCTTTCACTTCTTCAGAAGTACACGTACCTCCCTAGAAAAAACTCAGGCAAACAGACTTCACTATACCCTAGTTTATGAAGTTATACAATGAGTGTACGCAGTGAGTAAGAAAGGGACCCAGGCAGAGACCTTCAGATCTTTCTTTTCTAAAACATCACATGTTACATGCTCAATTTGAAGAGGAAGGTTACTTAAAAATATCAAAAAAGAACAAAGGGAATTGAAAAGTTAAAAATAAGGAAAGAACAGTCTGGCCCAAATAAAGATGGAAAGTAAAAAATGGCATTATGTAATCATGAAAAAAATATTTTAAAAGTCTTAACACTGACACCTACTTTACTATATTTTGCTTTAGAAGAACAGGATTTTATGTTCAAACACCAATAGGGGAAATACTGTTATGAATTGCTTATAACTAGGATGCTGATAGAATTTAAGTTATTTAAACATAAACAGTGTGATCTTTATTCATTCTAAGGATACTCTGTCCTGCTTTGGGTTTAAATGGACCTTAAAATTACTTTTGCTTCCATTTGAAAGCTAATTTGTGTAGCCGAAGTGAAGTATAAATGAACCCCAAATCTACAAGTCAGCGAAAAAGTTAAGAAACAATGATTTCTCATATAATAACTCCCATGATATTTTCCTTCTATTCAGTGCAGTGTAATTTCAATTATAACATGGACAGTAGAAATTACCTTTGTTAGCACAGAAGTAAGGTAAAAGGACAGATTTCATCGAGGCAAATGACCTTGAATTTGTCATACAAAAATGACATAAATCTTCATTGTACAGGATCAATCTTGAGAATTGTGTTAATTTTTTCTATCTTAATAAGCTCTTAAGAGTTGTTTACTGAACTTGATAACCATTCTCTTACATTATTGAAACAGAAAAAGACATTAAAAAAGGTATGAAATTTAGAATAGCAAAAGAATGTCGTAAGATCATACTATTCGATGAAACATTTATGTAAACAGTTTCAAAATATATAAATTCCACAAAATAAAAACGAATTATTTCCAAAAAGAGACCACAAACTGATCCATGATCAGTCTATGAAAGAACACTCTTGTGTGAATGAACTGTTAAATGATAAGCTGTTCCTTGTGAATATACACTAATCGCTAATTACAGCTACAACTCATCACTGTCATTTATTTCTACATTCTGTTTAAACTCTGAAAAGCCTTGTTCCACTCTGGAAATACCACACACTGAAGTCTAAATAACCTGCTCTACATACCAGTTTTCAGAGGGCAGACACATTGGAAAAAGAAGTTTGCATAACCCAGGTGAATAAACCAGGCAGTGTTTTCTGATAACATGCCTTTGCTATTGGCAAGGCGGATTAGTAACTTAAAGACAGTCTGTCTGCAGAGAAAACAAGAATTTACCTGTCATTCAAAACAAGCAGGTAGGGCAACAAAAAATTATTTTTCAATCAAAAATATTAGTCAAGATAGGGTATAGTGGATAAATACATTTAAGGCCCAATACAGAACACATCAGAACAACACCAGTCTAAATAAAACTGCATGAAAAAAAAGCTGTAAAGGAAAACAAAATACCAATGTTCTTCTTAATTTTGTAAATGGATAAAACAATTGTGCTGCAATGCCACTTCTGGGATGTACAGGATGTAGAGGCACTTACTGCATCATGGCTAAGAAGCTTGATGGAGAGCTGAACAATAAATGCTTTCAGTACTATTTTTAAAAAGTATAGATGCCATAAAAAGCATAAGAACAGGTGTCTTCGCTGAGACCATATATCACCAGTGTAAGTGTCCAACAACCATACAGTAGTACTTCACCAGAAATGTCTCCTAAACTCCAATCTGAAACTCAGGGAATTCAAAACCAATTTTTAAATTTTTATTTTTATTTTTTTTTTTAGCATTTAAGAACTCACTGTAGATTTCTGTTCCACAGACTTCTCCAGTTTTCCCTTAAATATGCAGAATTTTTGCATCCCTAACATCTTCCACCCTAACTTGCCCTAGCTTGGCAAGCTCCATTGCTTCACACTCAGTAGGCATCTCCTTCTGTTTGTTTGCGCATGTCCCCGTTGGCTTAATGTGAAACTTATTCTTGTACGAGAACAGGCATGTGTATGAGCCCTGCACACTCTCTCCATGACACTCATGACTGAACAGTCCTTTGTTTTAGCCTCTTTCAACCATCTCTTTTCCAGGCTGATGATTACTGTCCTACTCAGCGTTTTCCACATATTTTGATGCCAACCCAAAAGGAGATGATTATGTCACTAATATTATAAGAAATGAAGAAAATATACATGATAGGGCAAGTGAAATACTAGCAGCACTCGCAATAATCACCTCGAAACAGAAAAAGCAGATAATGAAGTTACACCAGCACCCATTCTGCACTCTCCGCTGAGCAGCGTGCCAGCAGTCATAGACTGGGGACGTGCCCTCGATGGCACCAGTGCTGAGTACCAGCCCAGGGATTGCTTCGCAGGTTTCACAGGCGATACTCCCGTTTCCTGAGCCTGGTGTGGTGTTCGCCTTTGCTGTTGCACCACGAACACTGTTGACTCATGCTCAGCTTGTGATCCAGATTCTGTTCTGAAAAAACTGTTACTTTGCTGTTTCTTCCTCATCCTGCTCTTTGCAGAAGATTAATCGTACCTCAGTCTAGATCCTTGCTCTCGTCCTTATTGAACTGAAGCCTCTTTTTTTCTTTTCCAGACCATTTCTCAGGCCATATAAACCGCTAATTCATCTCACTGACAGAAGACATCAGTTGCTGGTCATTTCATAATTTTTAGTGCTATTTAAAAAAACCCGCACTGATGTATGTAGTTGTCATTTAACTGAGAATGGCTGGTTGTTATCTTCTAATGATTAAATATCACACTGGCCCACTTTTCATTTCATTTTAATTTTAAAAAGAGAGATTAAGAAATTAACCTGGGGAAACACATTATTATTCTAAAGTGAAAGCTGCAGCATATGAAAGTCAGAACTGTCCTTGAAATAAGCCAGTATTGAAAAAGTCAAACTGGGAGCTACAGTAATTTAAATCTATTACACTGAATGCAGAAGTAGGACCTAATATTACACTGCAGAGCCCAGTTTGCGGAAACACCAACCCATGCACCTGGGGAAGCCTGAGCTTGCTCTTGCACTCTGTGAAGTCACATGCAAACGAAGCTCATTCCACTTCCTACGTGTATTCCAACTAAAGAACATTTTTATTTCTGTGTGAAATTTATTTTAAGATTTTTATACATTTTAAATTTTAAAAGTCCTGAAACTCCATTTTTCTCCCTCCCCTAATCTATGAGGACAACATTACTCTAGACAGGAAAACTGAAATTTTCAGTGATTCTCTTCCCAATATACCTTCAAGTTTTATTCACCCTGAGGGACTTCCCTACTTCTCTCAACTAAAATATAATGGCACATAACAAATTATGCTCTCAAAGGACATCCCATTTTTGTTTCATTAGTGCAATGAAACATTCACTCAATTTTAAAGCGGTTGTCTTGATCTTAGTTGTGATTTATACCAGAATCTGTCCATGTATTCTGTGTAGTATATATAATAAAACACCTAACTAGTTAAATTTGTCTCAGTGGGTTCTGCTGCAAGAAATGAAATACTTCCCCATAAAATCCCACACGTTTACTGCGCAGCTCTGAAGCATATGCTTCTGTAAAACTTAGAAGGATTTAAAAAGGGAAAATGGAACCCCAATCTGTCTTTAATTCTTCTATCATTATATACCGCCTTTTCTTCTCGATGTCCTCTCCACCTAGAAAGCCCCAATTCCTTTTTTCCAATTTCCCTAGATGTGTGGTACTGTATATTTTAACCGAAGATGGTGTAAGACTGAATTATTTGACCACATTTGATCAACATTATTCACACCTCTCATTATTTTTTTCCAACCAGTAACTGGGAGGCAGTAGCAAAACAATTTTGACCGGAATCAGTAAAGAAACAAATTTCAGTTCTAGTAGTTACTAGAAAAAAAAAACAACTAGTTTTTTTTTTTTTTTTCTTTCTTTCATGAAAGTACATAGCATCTCCTCACCTGTCCAATTTTCTAAAAATATGCAGCAAAATTGCCCCTGGTTCCTGCACATTATAACAATAGTGTGCGAGAGTACACATCGCAGATATGACTGCCTACCAGTGCATCAGTAGCTTCTATTAAAAAACAAACAAATAAAGAAATACTTTGCTTTTTTAAAATCCCATTATTGACAGTATTGACGTTATTACTTTCATGACAGTAGATTGATTTGGTATTCAAGTCTAAAATCATTAATCAGGGAATTCTCAGAGGATTCTGGTACAGTGCATTTCTACAGAGGAATTCTAGCTGTAGATCGCCTCAATTTGCTTTTAAAACCAAAACGAAACAAAAGTGCGCAGCACGGCTATGGCGCTGACATACCCCTGTGCATAATGTGAACGTTAGAGCTTGCATACTCTTCCCTTCTCTCCATCAAAGCTGTCCAAATAGCTTAATCCATGGGAAAAAATACACATGGAGCCTCTTTATTAACCTCTTCTGGCCAAATTATTGTTATTATTTTACATTATGGACTTGAAGGTGTATTACTGATAGGGAGGTAAAGCCAACTGCAGCACAGCGTGACGCTGCTGAATGGCTGCTCTATGAAAGTGGAAGTACTTATTTCCAAGACATTTCTGTGATGCTCCCTACTGTTAAAGTGTTATCTGACTTTAAAAGATTTTCAGTTCAATTGTAAGCAATAAGTAAACTCGGGCAGTACAGTACTGTATACTGAAGAGTTTCACTAGCTGGTCAAACAGGCATTATTCCAAGAAACTAACGCTGTATAGGACTGCTTCCTGGTGGCTGAGACCTCTGATTGGCAAAAGACAGTGGACTTTTCAGTCAGCAAGCTAGTTACCCATGGATGTGGCTCAAGGCTGACACACAGATTGACTGGTTCACACTAATTTACTTCACACAGATTCCATTTATCTCCTAGAAGATCCCCTGGCAGCAGCTTATAATGGCATATCCTAGGATGCCTGCCTGCATGAGTTTTTAAAGCGGCAGAGCTTGATGAATCTAAGTCCAGAAAACAGTTCACAGATTGAGGACTAGGTGCAATCAAAAAACATCAAGTAGCACAGCTGGGACTTGCTAGCTTGCTTGACTGGTTTGAGCAGCTGAGCATTAACTACGCTTGCTTTCCTGCTGGCAGCCCTGTGTCACTAGGACAAATCGGAGCACTACCCGACAGAAAAGAGGAAAAGAAAAGAAAAGAAAAGAAAAGAAAAGAAAAGAAAAGAAAAGAAAAGAAAAGAAAAGAAAAGAAAAGAAAAGAAAAGAAAAGAAAAGAAAAGAGAAAAGAAAAGAGAAAAGGAAAAGAAAAGAAAAGAAAAGAAAAGAAAAGAAAAGAAAAGAGAAAAGAAAAGGAGAAAAGGAGAAAAGCTAAGGCGAGGAGATTGTTGCATTCTATGGATACTATCAACAGATATAGGAAAAACTCATTAGAACATTTAATCCTTATGCTGCTCTGGGATTATCAAAATAAATAATGTTCAGGTTAGCAAATTGTGAGGCTAGGAAGCTGCAAAATTTAGTTATGCTAACAGTTTCTAGGAAAAAGACCTGAATAAAACTAAAGCTGTTGTCATTTATTTCAGATTAAAAATAAAACTATATTTAATCTAGAAATACATGTACAATGAAAGATAGTTACCAATATACTGGGCTTTACATTAAAACCAAGTGAGGTACAGATCAATGCAATTCTTTGCCTTCATAGAGAACAACAGACTTCAATAGGCGCAAGCTTTTAAACTGGATTTTTTAAAGGACTGAAAATACGTGTTTACACCATAGCTCTCCAAATTCAGATAGACAGAGACTATTCTTTAAAGTCCTTCTCAAAAAGGAAGCAAAAATTAATATTATTAGACAATAACATTTGACAGCAACTGTATTGTGAGGGATCCAAAGCACATTTAGTACTTAGGAGGGTAAAGACTCAGCTGTAGTGCTAGTTGATGAAAAAGTAGGATTAAGGCTTTAGTATGAGTCTTGACATGATCATGTTGTCTGCCTGCTGTCTTAAGCTTCGAAAAACAGCTGGGATCATCTTCTTATAAGCTCCAACTCAAAGATGTTTAAGCAGTTCCCAATCCAATTAAACAGAGGTAAATATAAGGAAGGGCCCTACTGAGCCCAATCATCTTATTTTTTTAATGAAAACCAGCATAATTGCAGGTTACACAACTCCTTAATCTCACTTTAAACCTAACAGACTGCTGCCTTATAGTGCACATGGCAGGCCCAGTTAACCCAAGCATTCTGTATTCGTGTGCTTAATTTTTGATCATTATCCTTTATTATGTTACTTGTAATCCTAAAAGCCTATGATTGTGTCCAGATATTTGGCAAGGATTGTACCTGGATATACAGGGATTCCTCTTCTAAGAGTAATGGATTAATTGGATAGTGCTGGACAACTACTAGATGGTTTGCAGTGAAACTGCTGTGCAGTTTTTAATTTGCGAAGTCCATTTCCTTCTCCCTCTGTCCCTGTCCTTTAAACTAATTGCCTTTTTGAACACAAGCAGTGCTGATGTAACAACCTATCTATTCTCACCACTAACATGACAGTACTACAGAAATAACACTGCCCTGCAGAGTGGGATGCTTACTAAAATCCTCTTCATAAAAATTAATAGAAGATATGGAAATCCTATTTTTCAGATGGAATTGAATGTCCAGTTTAAAAGCAGCTCTCTCACACATATGGCCCAGTCATAGTATTATCGCTGAAAGGCTTAGAGCATTGGACCACTAACCACACAGTCAAAAGATCCTTTGCATATGCAATCATGTTGTACCAAGGTATGTATTTTTTTTAAATTATTACAGTTAATACTGTAAAAGCAAAAATCCACATATGTAATCCTTCTACTTTGTTCTATATATATGCACAAGGACATTCTCCAAGGATGTAAAAGCAAAATCGCACCAGGGACTACTTCAAATACAGGCTCCTCGTGTCTGTAAGAGCAAGAAGCAAATTTAAACGATCAAGAGCGAACTGTTTGCAGTAGCTATGTTACATTATGCATGATTCTTGACTACACGATTTAATTAATGATTTCTAGATACATGGTTAATATTTGCAGTGAACTGGCATTCAGGGCAGCAAACTAGCATCTGACAGATGTATATAATTCTCTATTTTTTCCTAAACACCAGCTACTATGGACCGCTGTTCCTTTTTTGTGTAGCTGGAAATCTGTTTCATATACATGGACAATGATTCTGGACTGTGTTACAGGAGCATGAATCTAGATTAATTTAAGGCAGCTACTCTCCTGATGCAATTGAGAACAAAATCTGGACTTTGCTATTCTGTGAATTAATAGGCAATATTTGTTGATAGGTATAAATAGCAGAAAGGTGCATTGCTGAACTGATGGATGATACATAATTGTATTGATAATGAACCTGGACCATCTGCTTCAGTTACCACAAAAGGTTTGGGAAACACACTCTCCCCTTTAAGCACCACTGGATGTATCTCCAGAAAATGAATGTGGCACTCCCTCAAATCAGTAGATAAGCAAGGAGCTGTGAAGTACTTAATG